AATTGATTAAATAGTTCATAAAAACAAATTTTGAAAAAAAACTAGAACAAAATTTTTTTGGCCCAGACGGGTCTCGAACCCGGGTCCTTCGACTTATGAGCCTCTTACTTTACCACTGAGCTATCTGTGATTGCTGATATAGAGAGTTTTCAAGTGGTGAAAGAGTAGCCGACAGTTGCAGTGGTCGCAATACTTCAAACATTTTTGATACTACACAGTATAATATGATTCTGTTAATCTGTTAAGGCATCATAAGTAGTTTTTTTTTTTTTGGAGTTAGAGAGGATACTGGTATTTGAATGATTAATTAATTACCGTTAGATTGTTAATGCTATTATAATTGCCTGTTATATGATTAATTACTCTTTCCCCTTAAATTGTTGCAAATAAGTTAAAGAATATTAATTTAAAAAATATTTGCATTATTAAAATTATTAAAATTCATTGTTGTAGCGCCGGAACTGTAATATATAAAATATCTGGTTTTACAATACCTTTATCAGTTCCAAAAACTTTTGGAACTGATAAAGGTATTGTAAAACCAGATATTTTATTATAATTATGTTGTGAAAGCTAGACCCAGAGAATGAAAGTCGTGTAAACTCAACTATGGACCATTGTTGGTCCAACAAAAGTATCTTTTGTTGGTCCAACGGAGTGAAAAACGGTTGGACAACGGTTGGCTTGATGTATGATACCCAGCAATGCATATTAATGTATTTCATTAACAATGAACCAATGTTGGTCCACAGTTGTAAATATTGGTTGGCCCAACTACGAGATATACAGTTGGACAACGGTTGGTTGGTTGTGGAAGCTCCAACCAACCATCGACCAACTGTCCCACAGTTGGCCAACGTTGGCCCATCCATCTGTGCTACATGGGTAAAAACGCACCTAAGAACTATTTATAAAAAGAGTGCCACAGACTGCCACAAACGCCTTACAGTATTGAAATTCAAAACCTGTGTTAGGAGAGTACATATTTATCTTCTGTATAAGTCTGAAAAGTGTATCTTAACCGGGAGTTCTTAAAAACGAACCTAAGAACTATTCATAAAAAGAGTGCCACAGGTTGCCACAAATTACCTACGGTATTAAAATTTGAGATATGTGTTAGGAGTACAAATATTTATAATATGTATCAATTTCAATAGGGTATCTTAACCGGAAGTTCTTAAAAACGAACCTAAGAACTATTTATAAAAAGAGTGCCACAGACTGCCACAAACGCCTTACAGTATTGAAATTCAAAACCTGTGTTAGGAGAGTACATATTTATCTTCTGTATAAGTCTGAAAAGTGTATCTTAACCGGGAGTTCTTAAAAACGAACCTAAGAACTATTCATAAAAAGAGTGCCACAGGTTGCCACAAATTACCTACGGTATTAAAATTTGAAATATGTGTTAGGAGTACAAATATTTATAATGTGTATCAATTTCAATAGGGTATCTTAACCGGAAGTTCTTAAAAACGAACCTAAGAACTATTAATAAAACGAGTGCCACAGGTTGCCACAAATGACCTACAGTATTGAAATTTGAAATATGTGTTAGGACAACAATTATTTATAATGTGTATGAATTTCAATAGCGTATCTTAACCGGAAGTTCTTAAAAACGAACCTAAGTTTATTAATAAAAAGATACACTGTTCAGATTTTTATAGAAGATAAATAAGGTCTCTCCCAGCGAGCACATAATAATAATAATAATAGAGAGGACACGGCGTTTAACCAAATGCACTGAAAGTGTGGCCAAATCCGCCATCTTGGTCCGTCATACAGCCTGAATCCAAGACCCGCGAGCACAGTTCGCCTTAAAAACTCCGCGACAAATACACGATCATAAACAACATTAATAGTTGACAAAAAATTCTGAAATTTTGCTCACTTGTAGATATGATACTGAGGAAAACGATGGTGTCAATATAAAATTATTAGTTATAATAGTAATTGAGTTATAAATATGTTTAACACACTTGTAGTTTAATTTTTCAGATTCAAACATGAAAAAGTTGTATTGCGAGGAAATTTTTTATTTTTTGGTCAGAGTAATTTCGTCAGCGGGAAAGTTGTGGATAAATAACCAAATTTAACTATCCGATTCACAAAAAATTTTTATCGTGCGTGGTTTTCTAAAAATATCAGGTACAAAAGGGGTCCATTGCCGCTGCTCCGCGCCACGCCCGCTGCGCCGCCGGGCCGTCGTCTATAAATTTAGCGTGCAGTGTTTTAATGTTTTATTTATACTGTTGTACTGTAATATTGTATATATTAAAGACATTTTCAAATATATTGTCTATGAAGAATTTTCAACCGTTTAGCACAGCTTTTTAAGGACTAATTTGCTTTCAATACCATCCAAGATAAACTAAAGATAATTATGTAAGTTAAATAAAACTTCCCAAATATTTGTAAAATTACACTCAATTTATTGTCCCAGAAAAATTACAGTTTTATTGAGATGTTGCCTGACTTTATTTTTGTGAAGACTTTCGTTACTTATTTTACAGTAGTAGCGAACTCTAACATTGAAATATATTTGAGCAATCATTTTAATTACTAAACAAAAATGATTGTTGTCTATTTTTATATCCTGAGAACTGTGTACTATTTTTGTAAAAGAACAATCACTTGACTAGTTCTCGACAGGATGTAGATTATCGCCATCGCACCAACTCTTCATATAACAGCGTTACCTTAGAGTACAAGTATTTTTTGTTTATGTGTTCTCTAACTGAATTTGCCCCATATTTTACAGCGGGCAGATACAATATTTTTTATTTGATTCTAGAATGATCAGTTTATTTTTTATTATAAATAATTTATTTTACAGCTGAAAACACTACTTGAATAAAAACCAGTTTTAATATTTCAACAATTATAATTGTATACAGTGTTCTGAAATATAGGAAATAAATTCATTCATTTATTATTTTTTAATTTGTTAAAACTAAACAACACGTTTAGTATTATGATTGTCTTGTATAAAAATATTTCAATAAGCCTAAACTGACGACTAACTAAGTGAAATAAATTACAACCACTTAGTAATTTCCGAAAAATATTTTAATTATTAGTAGTACCCTACTTTTGTGTGTGTTAAAGAATTTCTCTTTTGCGATTGCCACGTAAAATCAAAACAATATTTAAGTTGAAATTGAAGGTCAATAACTCGGGTGAACTAACCCGAGTGACCCGACATCCCAAAAACTGATATGGGCTGTCGTAAAAGGGAAATCTAAGAAATTGCAAATGAAATCCATTCGGAGTAACATAAGGATTAACGGGACATCCCTGTACAATGTTCACTCCTAATTCATTTACATTTCCAAGTATTGACTTTTTATGTTTTGGACCAAACAATAGGTCGAATAGTTTGTACCATATACCTACGATTACAATTTACAACAGGTAGTACGTTCACCTTTGCCAGTTATAAATTCATGGTTTGTTCCTCAATTAACAATGAGGCAGATTGTGTTATTGTTCTAATACAAATGTAAAAATCACAAATTTTTACTGTGTAATCGACATTTTAAAAATCAACCCCTGAGTGATCAATACACAGCCTGAAGCCGCGACAATGTACTTCCAGAAAAACCTAAGTAATTTTTATACAAAAGTATTTTTACATTTAAATAAAGCCTATGTAAACAACCCTGACTCGAAGCATAGCAGATGACTAGCGCGTTGCAGACGCTGGGACTAGGCTAGCGCCGCCATCTTTGTCCGTTTCGTCGGCTAGTCAGACTGCCACGCTCCTGCGCTCCGAGTAGCGCTTCTATTTTGTTATGTGTTCGCTGGTCTCTCCTAACACATGTTTTAAATTTCAATGCTTTAGGTCGTTTGTGACAACCTGTGGCACTCTTTTTATGAATAGTTCTTAGGTGTGTTTTTAAGAACTTCCGGTTAATGTACACTGTTCAAATTCATGTAGAAGATAAATATGTACCCCCCTAACACATGTTTTAAATTTCAATACTGTAAGTGGTCTGTGGCACTCTTTTTATGAATAGTTCTTAGGTGCGTTTTTAAGAACTTCCGGTTAAGATACAATGTTCAGATTTGTATAGAAGATAAATATTTTCTCTCCCAACACATATTTTTAATTTCAATACTGTAGGTCGTTTGTGGCAACCTGTGGCACTCTTTTTATAAATAATCTTAAATTCATTTTTAAGAACTTCTGGTTAATATATAGTATTGATATGCCTATACAGAAGATTAATATCTCCACCCATTACATATATTTCAAATTTCAATAGTGTACGTCGTTTGTGGCACTCTGTGGCATCGTTTATGTGTCTTATGGAGTAATACCATTGTCAGTCAGTCTGTCAGCGTTTTAGGCAGTCCCGAGAGTGGGGACGTACAAGGCATCTCCCATCCACCGTCTTCCCGCAGCTTCTCCTGCTAGCCGAAACGAATACTCGGCCCTCGACCGTGTCCCATCTGCCATCCTTAGAGGAGTGGTATTTTATTCATTCCATTTTCATCGCATTCGCATTCCATCCCATTCCCATTGTCAACGTCAACGACCAACAACTAACAACTTCAACACTCAACACCACTGAGCTAAAATTATAACTGGAGGTAGCACTGCCATGGCAGAAGTCTGTCAAAAGCGTGTCGCTGATTTTGTTAGGTTGGTATAGCAGTAAGTTTTCTTATCATAGCAATGACATGGCTTCTTATAACTAGGTTGGTATAGCAGTGAGTATTTTTGTCATACTTGAATACTTTTAATACTTTAATAATTTTCTTTGAAATGGCGACCATACAAAGTAGGTATTTTAAGCCAAGTATAATAATAGTTATAGCAATAATATGGCTTCTTATGACACCAGACTCACGCAAACATGGCGGCTGGCGACACGCATCTTTGACATTCAGTGCTACCTCCAGTTAGAATTATAGCTCAGTGCTCAACACTCAACAGTCAACACAACGACCAACAATGAACAAAGTCATCGTCTGCTGCTGCGTCATGTCAACGTAGAAATAAATGACAAATCACCGGGTTTATTGCCCCATTAATTATTGTTTGTAGTTGTTGTAGCCTATGATATAAAAATGCTATTGCTATAACGAAATAATCTTAAATACTAAGAATATTATAAGAATTTCAACCAACCATGGGACATCGTAAAACGGTTGATTTTACCCTATCTGTACCCTGGGGAATCATTGCAGGTTAGTTGTCAATGCTGTTGACAAGTATTTTAAGGTGTAAGCTTTTGTGGTTATATGATTCAGAATACTCATATGTATTGAAGATCTTCCAGTGGCGTTATCCATTTCCAGCTATGTAATCCCCAGGAATATTTGTGAATAATTCTGCAGATCAAACCAACTAACTAACCAACTAACTCCCTGCAAGTATAAAACCACTAAGTTAAGTTAACGACTAGGCTATAACAACATCCCAACTCAAGTCACTTCATTTGAGGGTAATAATTTACTTATAAGTAAATTATCGGTAGGTGCCTCCAAACAAATTTTTAATTTTGATAGGCCTACCTATCTTACTAGTTATATAAGTAGTCTAGTATTTTACCTCCTGAATCCATAAAAGATATGCCATTTTTCACCGCTGACGAATATTACTCAAGATATAGGCCTAGGCCTAGGCTACAACATTCGTGCAATAGTTATTTGTGCAACTAGTGAGCAATTGCCTCACTCGAGAGAAACCCTTACTCACGAGCCGTAGGCTAGTGAGGAATGGTTTCTCGAGTGAGGCAATTGCAATTTGCCCTCGAGTTGCACATTATATTTTTCCTACAGTTACCATAAAACAAATAAATTGGTAAAGAAACGTAACTTATTTTTACACTGAAGTGAACTAAATATGACATTTAATGTGAAGTGACCAGTACAACAGCTGACCAGCTGATTTACAGCCAGTGCTGCCAACGTATTTCGCGTGCATACGACCTTGCCTGCAGTTATGTGGTCACTATTTCGTGCCTTCACGTTGCAAATCTGGAGTGAGACAAAGTAATTAGAGTGAGACAATGTTAACATTGTCTCACTGATGAGCAAATTGGCCACTTTGCTTTCTCAAATCAGTGAGAGAACATGTACCGGTACATTGTTAGGTAACTGTAGGAAAAATATATTTACCTAACCCGCCATGTTAAACTTCCCTATCCCAAGCGTGATGTATACAACTTCTTTACTTCTAGAGTGATGTAAAGTTTAAAAAAACTCACTCGGTGAGGTAATGAAACCCATTTAAATAACATTGAGTGATTAACTTAAAAAATATACCTCTATGGAGCCAATGACGTTCAACGCTAGAAATCAGCTGTGCGCTTGAATTTTATTGTTTTGTTTTGAAGAATTTTCCTAACCTAGCTTTTGTTTGTAAATAAACGTTACTGTTAGAAGATGAGTGGAAAGGATAATGAAAAATATTGTTCGTAACCTCGTGTATATTGTCGGGTCAGGTAAAATCTTGTACGTTACACGTTACGCAAGAGCGTGTTTACATCACTTAGGTAAATTATGCAACTCGCTTCCGCTCGTTGCACAACATTCACCTGCGTGATGTAAAAACGCTCTTACTACACTTGTAAGGTAAATAGCTATTACAACATTAGAATAAATAAGGTTGGATGGATGACATTTACAAGTTGAATGAACTAAGTTAACCCTAGCGCTGGCAAACACCGGATATACGGCGCGAACGGCCGCGGCCGAAATGGCAACGCCGGATATACGGCGCCAATGCAGGTATTACGGTAGGCCTATATATAATTTTTTTTTTTTTAGTTTTGTAACCTTTTTGGGCTACTGTTGTAATAAATAAGTTAAATAATACAAACCAGAGTACCGGTACCCTGGAATTATATATTATATAAGTTGTACGGTTTTGTACATGACCTGGGTTGGATGATTATTTGGTACTAGCGCGGGGGTATGATCGACATATGAATAGGGCTATCAAACAAAATACACAAAATAAGCTATATAAACTATATATTTTTGGAATCAGCACAAAATTTACCACAACTTTACAATTTACCTTATGATGATAAGTCTTACATGCACTTAGCAATACGACGGAATATAAAAACATTTTATAAAAAAATTAATAATGCCTACAATTTGGAAAAACTAAAAAAAAATTTTTTTGTGGTAACAACCATGTAAACCACCTATATTATTGTTCTCTGTCTTATTCTGAACAAAATGATATATAACAATCCATAGTTATGTTGCTATTTCTAATTTTTATGATGGTTTAAAAATTATATTACATAATCAATAATATCCCTATGCCAGTACAGCGTTACACTAACTTAGTGCCAGCTCTAGGGTTAAGTTATGAGTGAAATAAGTTAAGCCTACAGCTGATTGTTTTCATCCACACGAAACGACAAGCACCTAGAACATTCTGGTTACAACTTTATTAACTTACTCTGATTCTGGGATCGGCAATAGGCCTATGCCTAAGTTAATGACGACACTTCATTTTACTATGCAAGTATTTTTTAAATAAGTTGTTACAGTACTGTACTTAACAGTGTTTTGATTTTGTGTTTGTATTTGCATGATCGGGGTAAACTTCTGATAATCCCTCCCGGCTGTGTTGACATCGTAACCGTCAACCGCAATTGAGGCAAAATTCTGACAATTCTCCACGGTCGTGTAGACATAATTATTACCTTCCATGATCGTGGCAATGTATGAACATATCTTGCGGTCGTGAGGAGATTTTCATCGTCTACCGCGAAAGAGAGAAAATTCTGATCACCCCTCCCTGCCGTGAAGACATCATTAATTGTCCCCCGCGGTCATTTGTACATAGTAATCGCCTCCCACGATTGCAGCAAAATGGTAATCATTTCCTGCCATCTTGTGGAGATCATCATCGTGTTCCGCAAATGAGGCAAAACTCTGATCTTTTCCCGCAGTCGTATGGACATTATTATCGTCTTGTGCTATCGCGATAAAATACTGATCACCCCTCGCAGCCGTGAAGACATCATTTTGTTGTCCCCTGAGGTCGTTTGTACATAGTAATCGCCTCCCACGATTGCAGCAAAATGGTAATAATTTCCTGCCATTTTGTGGAGATCGTCATCGTATTCTGCAAATGAGGCAAGATACTGAGCTTTTCCCGCTATTCTATGGACATTATCATCATCTTGCGCTATCGCCATAAAATTTTGACAACCCCTCGCGGCTGTGATGACACCATTATATCGTCCCCTGCGGTCGTTTATACAAAGTAATCGTCTCCCACTATTGTGGCAAAATGGTAAATATCTCCCACTCCCTCGGCCATTTATTGTATAGATCATCGACTTCTGGGAATGAGGCTAAATTCTGATATTTTCCCGCGGTCATGTGGACATTACAGTAGAACTCCAATTATCCGAACTCCAATTATCCAAACTCCAATTAACCGAATCTCCAATTATCCGAATCGCTTATTTCAACAATTTTAAAAACGTAAAGCTACAGTAATAAGTTTTGCAAAATATCAAAGAATTGTTATTAAACACATTTAGCCAATTTTTGACTTCGATGGAACACTATTGACTTAATAACATGTATAGAACACTTGTACTATGAGCATTGTAAACTGTAAAAATGTTCTGATTTAAATTATTATTAATTAAAAGTTCACTTAGTACCGAAAATGAGGATTTTTCTTTAAAATTCCCAAAATTCAGGTAAAACTCCGATTATCCGAATTTTTGATTATCTGAATGGGGTCTGGTCCCTATTGATTCGGATAATCGGAGTTCTACTGTATCATCATCTTGCGCGATCGCGGCATAATTCTGATCATCCCTTGCAGCCGTGTAGAAATCATTAATGTGTCTCCTGAGGTCCTGTAGATATCGTAATCGTCTCCCCTGGTCGTGAAGAGACATTGTAATTATTGTTTCCCGCGATTGCGGCAAAATGTTACTCATATTCCCCAGTCGTGTGGCAATCATCATCGTCTTCCGCGATTGCGGCAAAATTCTTGCTGTTTCCTGCGTTCGTGTGGACATCAAGAATCAAGAATTTATTGCAACAAATTACAAAAAGAACATTTTGTATAGTTGAGGTCATATTGAGAGTAACTTAGGCTAAGAAGTCTCAGTAATCTGCAAGGATAAAATGTCCAGTGGTTAGCATATCAATTAGGGCCTATAACATTCAATAACTTAGGCTACTTTAAATAATTTAAACAACAAAGTAAGTTACAGATTTAAGGCCTACATCAGTCAGAAACTAAAAACTAATATCAATGTCAGACATGAAAAATTCACTTAAACTATAAAAAGGGTGATTTAATAACCGGCAAAAAAGTTTACTTTTAAATAACTTAAGATCAACACAGTGTGCCTCAGCTGGCAAACGATTAAACATCTTTAACCCTATATAAGAAAAAGATTCTTGTGACTTTGTTAGCCTGACTAAAGGTAACTCTAAATTATTCCTATGTCTAGTAAAATAACTATGTAAATGTGATCTCAAGGCTACAGCATTAATATTAACTTTTACATAAACAAGACACACATAAATAAATAAATTAAAAACAGTGAGTATTTTTTCCTGAATAAACAAGGGTTTGCAATGGGCTCCGTACTTGGAAAAAGTAATGATATTTAAAGCCTTCTTTTGTAGACAGGAGCAAGATTCTGCTAACATCATGACCACAGCCCCACAGCAAAATACCGTGTAGCTTAAAATACTATTAAAGAAGGCAAAGTAGGCCATCCGTAGGTAGTGTCTAGGGATTAATTTTTTAAGCTTGCGGAGTAAGTAAATAACTCTTGAGAGCCTACTACAAACATGGTCAATGTGCACACTCCAGCCTAATTTAGAATCCAGGTATATACCCAATAATTTAACATTATCACAGAGTTGAGGAAAGTTTAAATCATGGTTACTTAAACTAAATAAAATAGATTGAGTCTTACTATTATTCAATAGAAAACCGCTACTTTTGAACCAATTGTTACATTCAATGAGACAGTTGGACATATAAACATTAAGATTATCTAAACTGTGATTAGGTCTACTGCAGAAAAAAGTTGAATCATCAGCAAAAATTATAGAATTACAATTTACATTAAGAGGCAAGTCATTAATTACAACTAAGAATAGAAATGGGCCAAGGACCGATCCCTGGGGCACGCCACTCTTCACTACCGACACCTCAGTGAGCTTATTGTTATACAAGA